TTTTAATTCAACATAATCGTTGATTATAAATAATTACTTTGAACATAACAAAGTAGCGTATTTAAATAAAAAAAACGTAACTGCTTGGAAAATTTGAATGGTATGTATACACGTGTATACGTCAATCGAGAAACGGTCGACAAACTTTCAAGCTTGTCGAGACTAATTCGAGGGAGCTGAATGAAACTTCGTAACTCATTTCTGCTGGCGAGTTCGGTTCGTCAGCGACGTTTTCTCGAAATGAAAATCAAGCGACAATTATAGCTAAACGAGAATTTCAACTGAAACTTGAACGCAAACTTGATTAATCGACAGTATCCCGAGGGAATCAGCGAGCTCGCGTATAAGGAGGATTTTGCTGTTCGCGGCCTTCATTATGACATCGAAAAGGGTCTGCTGCTGAAACTCGACAGTTTCTTGCAAATTCAATTTGGCACCGTTTACCGTGGCTTACATCCGCTACCGGACGAAGAAGTCCTCAGGCTCTATAAGAACCGAATAATACCGATCGCTTACGTCGAAGCGCCTCATAAACATTCTCACGTAAGCAGTCTCGAATTCATCTCAATTAATTCCTATTGCACCGATCAAATTTATTAATATTGGTAATATCTGTCTAACACTGGAATGAAATACTGTACTAATAACAATTCTTTCCGTTCATACCATAATTTCTTTCCTAACATAGTTTCTTCAATATGACTTTAATATTCAATTAGAATACAGAAAAGATAAATATTTCTGTGAATATTTATACGTACAGTGTAACATNCATCTCAATTAATTCCTATTGCACCGATCAAATTTATTAATATTGGTAATATCTGTCTAACACTGGAATGAAATACTGTACTAATAACAATTCTTTCCGTTCATACCATAATTTCTTTCCTAACATAGTTTCTTCAATATGACTTTAATATTCAATTAGAATACAGAAAAGATAAATATTTCTGTGAATATTTATACGTACAGTGTAACATGCATGTCTAATCTTATCTTTTTTTGTAAAACGTTTGCAAATGGTAAAAAGTTGAAAAAAGACAATACGTCTAATTAGCATATTGGTTTTTACATTCGTAGTTGTTAGAAACAATAGCTCAGAAGATTTATAAAAGTCTAATAGAAAAGTAAAAATTAACAACAATGTTTTGCAAAAGAAACGACAGAACATATGACTGTCATTTGTATGCGCGTCCACGTGTGCTTAATTTTATGATACATTCCTAAGAAACTGAAAATGTGTAACATATGTACATAAAGCTGTTCAAACATCGTTTATTTGTTTGCATGCGTCAACGTATGTGTTTTCATTGATGGATTTGTTCAACGTGATACATAGAAAGTGAGTACTACATATTCGGTGTTTGCGGTGTACAGAAAATCTTTTAATTACGCAATGGAAATTGCAATTTTCTCAGGAGGCATTACACCGAACGAAAATGGTTCAATTGGCTGATTTATTTTCTGTGCCGGAAATGGGTCTTCTTTGTAACGTTACCGAATACTTCCTGAGTAACCATATCGATTACCATCCTGAAATACTTTTTAGAGACGTAAAGGTAAGAAGAATCAATTTTATAAAACGTACAGAAGCATATTGCTACCCACTGTTTTTACACGGTTCAATTTCATTTCAGAATTCTGTACAAAGTTGCCATCCGATAATGCATGGCATGGTAGTTGAAAACGTGTCCGAGTACTTGGAACAAAATAAAGATTTAAGAAGATTCTTTGAGCGTCTGAAAAAAAATAATAAAAATATGTTCCTAGTGACCAATAGCCCTTTCCATTTTGTGTAAGTATTATAATTAAACTGAGGAAGTACACTGAAAACTTTTCTTACTTTCACAGTTGCATAGATATTTATAACTTTTACTATTATTAAATGGAAACGGTGATGTAATTTAATTTTTAGCGATACTGGAATGAAATTCTTAGTCGGTAACGATTGGAGGGACTACTTCGATGTGGTAATAGTTCAAGCGAGGAAACCGAAATTCTTTACCGAAGAAACGCGGCCCCTTCGAATCTACGATGAAATCAACAAAACTCAACTATGGGATCGAGTGACCACACTTGAAAAAGGAGTGATATATCTGGAAGTAAGTGTAGAAAAGCTTGCTCAAAATTATTCTTAGACACATTATAATGTCGATATTAATTCTAAAATTAGGGAACAGTCAAACAGTTACAAGATATGACTGGTTGGCAGGGGCATCAAGTGTTATATTTTGGAGATCACCCTTACAGCGACTTAGCGGATGTTACGTTAGAGCATGGCTGGCGAACCGGTGCGATAATCAAAGAACTGAGCGTAAGTTCACATTTATAAATCTAGATTTCTTCAAGAAGAAAGACATACATAAGGATTAATTTCTGTTCTAGCATGAAATCGCGACGTTGAATAATCCAAGATTCAAGGAGAACGCGAATTGGTTACAAATGTTAACGGGATTGATCGAGGATCATCAAGATTACGAAGGGCCGGATGTGCAAATCGTACTCAATGAATGGATTAACGAAAGAGACAGTTTGAGGAACGAGATAAAACGAGTATTTAACAAACAGTTTGGCTCGGTATTTCGGACATACCACAATCCCACGTATTTTTCGCGAAGACTTTTTCGGTTCGCCGACATTTACATGAGCTCGATCACGAACCTGTTAGAATACTCGACAAGCCATACGTTTTATCCGAGGAGAGGCGTGATGCCGCATGAATATACGAGTTACTTCGTGTAACATATACATCGTTATGTATGTAGATTTTCGATTAGATGCGTGAGATGCTTCGAAGCGCGACGGAAGTTTACGGAGCAAAAATCAAAGATAGAGTAGTGGAATTATATTTAAAAACGCATTTTCGTTTTATGTAAATAAAAAGAGAATGTTAGACTGCTTAGGACGGATAACCATGTAATGCAGCATTCAAGAGTATTTTGATGTAGTACGTGCGTATTGCTTTTTTAGGCAAAGAGAATAATACATTCAAATGTTCAATCAAATACTTGAGAACAAGAATGATCTAGTTAATGAATTTCGGATAATTCTATTTAATGAATTCTTCTGAGAAGAGAGAACACTTTAATTAAAGATGTTCATCATATCAAAATATATGCATGAATAGATATATGAACATTATTTTACGATGAAGTATAAAAATTAAAGTACAATTTAAATAGAATGTTGATTATATTTTTTATATTAGAATTTATCTATGTAAATACGACCACATATAGAATTGGATATTATTGGAATTACTGAAAAGACATCCAATCAATGTAAACGTACTTTGCTTATCATAGTGATATTACAATTTGATTTACAGTTTCTGCTTTCAATAAATATAAATGTGTTCAAATGTACGTAAACAATAG